TGCTCCAGATGTCCACAACAATGGCCTCATCTAAACCCCTAGTTCCCTGCACTTCAGTCATCTTCAGACAAATTCTGGACAAAAAAAAAACAAAAAAAAAAAACACCACAAAAGCCAGAACAAGTGTCATCACAATGATTTTGATGGAAGCAGCTGCCCACTTCAGTTAATGCTACTCTCAAAGCATGAATGGAATGGGAAGCCCGTTAATTTGATGTGCTCCTTCTATTAAACTGTCTGTAATCTGGATACGTACTGATCAATAAGACTGACAGCTTCTTGAAGCAACAATAGGGAGGCAAGTTCCCTACTTTCAGGTGAACTTTAAATAGGCATATATTATTGAGTAAGAAAACTACAGTAGAAAGAAAAAATATTGAGGAAGAAAACCCCAAAAATGTATTTGGGAAACTGCTACATCTAGACTGGAAGAAGTGATTAGCATGGTTTGGAAAACTGCTGCATCTAGACTGGAAGAGGGATTAGCATGGTCTCTTTGCCTATGTTGGCACTCTGCTCCCTAAATACTCCAAAACAAACCAGTCAGAAGTGATAGTATCCCTAAGAGTCTCTACTAATGCACCTAATGATTTTTTGCTTCCTTAGGTTTGGTTTTAGTTTTGGGTGTGGTTCTTTTTTCTCTTTAGGAAAGCATACACCAAGTGCAAAATCTTTTCATATCCCAGTTTGCCTTACCTTCAGTCCAAAATGTTGGGTTATGACATCATTAAAAGCTAGATACAAGAGCAAAACAGCTCTGCTGACAAATGCACTTAATGTCCGAAAGCACTTAGCAGAAGGTAGCTTGCCAGATGGGTTTGCTGCCTTTTTTTCCTTTTAATTATTGTTATGAGAAAGCATTTTAGTAAAAATTGGAAATGACCAGACTCTCAGCCCTTCCCAGCACTTCTCTGTGAGCAACTGCCCTTTCTTTCCTACCACTTCACTCATCATTACATGCAAAGATGAGAGCATTTGTGAAACTCCCTTGCTCAGCTAGTGCTTTAACAGTAAGCTGAGGCAGACAGACCTCCATGGAAGCTGAGGAAGGGTTCTAACATTCATAACCAAAAGAGCAGAGACTTTGTCTTCTTTGAGAAATTTTCTATATACTTCCTGCCATTGTTAACATCACACCAATGGTGACTTAGCTGCTGTTGCTTTTAATATCAAGTACATTAGCTCAATGTTCAGGCTTACATGATGCAATGTCATCAAAGACAGCCCCCACTGATAGACTATTTTTGGCTCCCAATATGGATCACAGCTGTAGATTTAAACTGCTTTTGGCAAGAAGGAATTTTTTAGAATATTGCCAAATACAAACAGAGCTGGAAAGGTGACAGCTTCTTAAAAAATAATTCCAGGAAGGAAAGTCTAGGCTAACAACAAGATATAAACCAGTTGTGCTGCTTTGAGGTATGTTTAACTCTTTCTTGTATTCTACTTTTGGAACTCATTCCTATGAGCTTTCTCTGATTTAAACTTAATTATATTTTGATTTCTGAATCCTTAGAAAACTCCTCCCTTGCTGCACATTAGCCAACTTCTCTGTCAGTTAGAAATTTCATCTCATTTCCTTAATGAGAAGAATATATTTAGGATTTCTAGCTAAATTTTCTAGCTCTTCAAAGTCTCTCCTTTGCTTATTAATATAAAAACAATCAAAACAAAAAGCAAATAAAAGACTGCAGCTTGATGCTTTTTCTCCCTTTTTCTAGAATTATCTGTCTGAAAGTGACAATGCAGATACTTTTTGTTGTTTTGTTTTAGCATGGGGGGGGTGTCTTCATTGTTAATGAGCAATGTTTGCAACTTCTGCCTATATTCTTTATATTTCTTCGTTCTTCTCAATTCCAAAATGATCTGTGGGTGGATTTTCCTGAAGTCATAAAGTGGTGACACAGCTATTTCCTGTTGCCATCAAAATTCTGTAACAGAATTTCTCCCTCTACTAGTTACTAAGTTACTTGGAGTACGGCCAAAGCTAAAAAAAAAAAATAATAAAAAAATAAAAATCTTAACTGAAAAAACTTTTCAGTAGCCATACGGACTTAATGCCTTCAGTTCTATGGGTCTGCAATGATTCCAGAAAATACGTAATTGAGAAACCCTTCACTTATATTTCTTTTCACAAAAAAATAAAAAAGAGAATTTTTAAAATCACATCAGTCCCAGAAAAGGGGGCTGTATTTTTCCACTGAAATATACCACAGGAAAAAGGAACTGGTAAGATGGATCATTTCATTCATTTTAGCCAGATCACACTTATTTTTAGTATATGTAATTGGCACAGAGGAGTAACAGAAGCAGAATACATTCAGCTACATTTCCAAGCTTACATACACCTTTACCATGTATCCTGAATGTCAGTTTTCAGCTCAGCGGGTTTTTGTAACTGAAACCTTGCTGTGGAAACCCAGTATTATTTGCAAAACACAAGGCTTTTAAATCTTTGCAAGAGTTTTTGAAATCTTTCAACTAATTCTGGAATACTTGCAGTATCGCTCATAAATAATCCTGCACGTGCTGGTCTGATATACTAAGCCTTCCGTAGCTGTTAAAGCAGGCTTCAATATCATCTGTCACCCATCTGTCATTTTCCCAGCACAGGAGTCGATTCTTCCCTCTGACTGGTGTAAGCCAGGAATAGCACTTGAAATCCCTGAATTTTACTAATGAAAAACAGACTGAGACTGGAAACATTACAGCGATTGGTAGGCAGAAAACAGCTATTTCTTCCTTCAGCTGCAGTTTCCTTTCTAATCTCTTCCTTGCTAAAGGAGGTGGTGATAATCACCATCTGCAGGAACAGATAAGAAGGGGAAAGATCGGTATTGTAACAGGACCTTGAAAACTCTGCTCTCCCTAGTAAAATCAACTGATCAACTGCCCGAAAATGAGTCTCCAAAGTGGTAGTAAGTAGAAAATGTTAAACCCTCCTTTAAAAAAAACCAACAGCACCAGAAAAAAAACCCACCAAAACCCAACAAAACAAAAAAGGGATTGTTAAAATGTGAAGGATCCTGCAAATGAACGTATCTGTGATAGTAAACAGTTTGAGATCAGGTGATACAACTGTAATCAAGGAGGAACACAGAAAGAGAACAATGAAAACTTTGATATCTGCTGTGAAATATTTTTCTCAGTGGGTGTCTACAAAGATAAGTCATCTAGGAAAAACAAAATAAACTATTTTAGTCCACTGTATCTTTATTTTAAAATTATAGATTCAGGGTATAAAGTATGATTCACAGGATCTTCTATCGACTTGCATTTTTTTGAATTAACACATCCCAACATGCCTGTACCTTCTTGATCCAGGTAGTAGGTCCAAATGCACAACACGGTACTATTACAACTTGAATAACTCTCAGATCTAACAGGTATTTGGTGTCAAAGAGATATCTTATCAGACACACCTGAGGGCAAGGGCTTTCAGAAACTAGTATGTCTGTAATCATCTGCTGGACCTCTGTCACGTTGGGAGCAATACTTTCTGCTACACTAGTCCATCTAGCTCTGTCCAGTTATATGCCTGATCCTTTGAAAAGGGCAGCTCCACGTGTGCTGCACTGGTTGGATTTGGTCTAGCCAATGGCCCTGAAGGCAATGCTTGAAAACATACACTTCTTTCATCAACTGACATGTTATGTCTGACTGTGAAGGACCCCTGGCAACTGCAGCTACAACGGCGCAAACCCCTGTCTAGCTCCAGCTCCGGAGGCAGGGGGTTTCCCAGCCCTGACAGAACCAGCACTCAGCTGTCTCTCTTTCCAGTGTGGTGAGTTTCAGCGCACAGCACTCCAGCTACTTGCCAGGGGAGACAAGTAAGGAAAACGCATCCTTCCCGGTTCAGCTTTGCATCAGGACCTGACTGGCTGCATTCCTAGAGACATGAACTTCCATCTCAAGCTACTCAGCATCTTGCCTTCAGGTGCTGCAGCCTCCAGAGAGAACAGTTCTCAGAGTAAGTGGTAATGAAAAAAAAAAAAAACCAACCAACAAACCACTGCAGAAAGTTTGAGTGCCTTACACTCAGCTCCTTTCCTCCAGGGAGTGTGGACAGCTGCTGCTAACACACAGGGTTCTGTTTGCCCAGGCTAGCTGGTGCTTGGAAATAAAACTCTATCACCAGGTAGGTTCTGAAAGGTACAGATAGCTAGACCTTCCAGGCGCCATCTCCTGATATCGGGCCCTGCCAACCCTGGGCCCGTTGCCAGGGTCTCCCCAGGGGCAAGCTCAGCTGCACACCAGGGAATCGTGGCTGAAGCACTGGAAGGGAAGGCCCGGTTCCAGCCATGGCTAGAGAAGCCTCCCAAGCCCCACATCGGCGCCCTGGACGGGTAGTGCACTGCGAAGGCGTGTGGGGACGCAGGCCTCTGGGGTCACCCCTGTCTTCCGACAAAACCCATGGCCTGGCACAGCCCGCTGCTGCCCTGGGTCGCTCGGAGGGCGATCCCTGCCCTAATACCCGAACCTCTGCTGTGATGGCACAGGGAGACGAAAGTGCGGAAGTGAACAGCGCCACCCCTCTCCCAGCACCCTCCGTAGCGAATCTGCCAAAACGCGGCCATGACCGGACAAACCCAACTCTACCCCACCCCGCTACGGCGCGGCGCTCAGTCCAATCTTGCGCAGCCCTGCCTACGTCGAAGCGAGGAGACGCTGCGTGGTGGGCGTGGCCGAGTGCGGCCGGGGCTGCGCTGTGGGAAGTGCCGGGCCGCGCTCGCTGGGGTTGTCGCTGCCGGGGGAGGAGGAGTGGGAGTTGGAGCAGCTCTTCCCCGCCGCCGGGGAGAGGCCGGAGCGAGGCGGTGGCCGAGTTCGGTCCATGGACCGTCCGTGCCTGAGGCGGAGCTCGTGGAAGGAGCCGCTCGGCCCCGGCGTGGCCGTGAGGGGCGGGAGGCGGCGCGGGGCGCGGGCGGTGCGGCGCGGCTGAGCGCGGCGCACGGGCCTTTAAGCACCGTTTTCCGCCGGCTTCGCGGCCGCCCGGCCGTGCCGTGCCCTGCGCCCGCCGCCGCGGCACCATGTCGGCCAAGGTGCGGCTGAAGCGGCTGGAGCAGCTGGTGCTGGACGGGCCGCAGCGAAACGACAGCGTGCTAAGCGTGGAGACCCTGCTCGACCTCTTGGTCGGCGTCTACGCCGAGTGCAGCCGCGACTCGCCGTTGCGCCGCGACCGATACGTCTCCGACTTCCTCGAGTGGGGTGAGGACGGGGATGGGGGGAGGGGTCCCACTCTCTGGGGGCTGTGTGGGATCCCCGGGCGAGGGGCGGCGGCTGCCCCGGGAGTGCGCTCGTCGCCGCTCCCATCGGCGGCCGAACCGGGCAAGGAGTGGGGACGCCGCCCCTGGATGCGGAGCCTCCCTAGGGAACGGTCCCCCCGCCAGCCGGGGCTTGACCCCGGCAGGTCTCCTCCCTGTCCCGCTCTGCTCCAGGCGAACTGCTTGGCAGCCGCAGCAGGAACAGCACCAGAGTGTCCTTGGCCTGAAACCCTACTCGGCTTAACCCGAAATGTCAGGCTAATCCAGCGCTCCTCGGAGGCTTCCTACCTGCGGCAGGGAGGAGAGGGAGAGCAGCAGGCTCCGGCTTTGAGAGACTGCTCTTGGGCCGGATTGTTGCTGTTAGAGGGGGCATATGTGTGTGTGCATGTCTTGAAGAAACAGTTACCGCTCATCATGCAGTCTTGGGCATGCCCCCGAAGGACAGAGCAATTCTAAGCAGCCTTTATAATAGCTTTGTTTAATGGTTTCCTACTGTTAAGCAGCCTGATAATGAAAAACTTCCAGTAGTCAGGAGCGTGCTGACAGAAGAGAACGCGAATACTTGTAATAATGCTTGGGATAAAAGTTTTCTTTCCAGTGTTGTTTAGTTGAGACTATTGACTACACGTTTGGGGAGAGAGATTTTTCCCTGCTGCATGCCTAAGTGAATTTATGTTAAAATGGCCTTGATGGCTGACGGGTTTATTCGGCTGACTAAGTTATGAATAATCATGTATGACAAAGGTGACTTAACTTCTTCATGGAATGAGAATTGGAGGGGAGGGAGGAGAGATCACTGCTCATAAGTATATTGTCCCATTTATCAGCTGTTCCATGCATGTACAATTAATTAGGCTTTTAAAGAGCCCTCTTACAAAAAAAAAAAAAAAAAAAAAAAACCAAAAACAACAAACAAACCCAAGCCCCCCTCCCCAGAAGACCAGCGACCAAAACAAAGGATTTCCTAAGGGGGAAGGAGTGGCTGATTTGCTTCAGTAAATGCAAATGTATGTCTTTAGCATTACAGACCAGAGCACTAACATGTCCGGACAGCTGGTTCTCCTTAATTTCTGTGGGGACCACCACTCTTTGTCATACACTAACAGACTAAGAGGATTCACTTCCTGGACTCTCCTATTGACGTCAGTAATGCGATTGCCAACTGAATAATTAACCACTTTATCACATCTGCCCTGCAAAGCTGCAGCCTGCAGAACATGATTATTTGTTTTGTGGTGGGAGATCTGTATGTGTTCTGCAAAGTGCAATCTGGTTTTACACTCTTGTTCCCAAGCTGATGGCTTGAATGAGTGAGCACCTACAAACTTAGGACGATACTTCAAGCACTGAAGTTGAGGAAAGGATTTAAGGCAGGCCAAAGAATGATATGCTTTTTTGTATAGCACTGCTGCTGGTTGTGTCTTACTGATTGATCCCTGTGTTGTCACTTTCTGTGTGATGGAGAGACTGATTGTCCAACTGTTTATAAAATCGCTCCTTTTAATTCTGTTTATTGTGTTCCCTGAATGTGAAAAGATTACTGACTTGATGAAAAGTATAGCTTGCAGTAAAAACAGTGTGTAGTTCTTACTGCAGTGTGGGTTTATCCTAGTATAACAAAGTGCCTATTCAATAAATAATTGAAATGTATGTGAGCTACCATCTGGTGCTGCAGAGTAGGGATAAAAGTTTATAATCCAGGCCCTTGATGGTAAAGGGATGGACCTAATCTGAATTGCTATTTATTATTATATTTGTGTTCCATCAATAAGGAATACCTTTTAAAACCAATTATAGTTGGTGTTCTCTGTTCCTCTTTTTCCTTCAAGCTGTTAAAAACAAATAAATGCCAACAACGAGACACCTTTTATCTGTGTCCTAATGCCCTCACAGTATGTTTCCACTGACAAGGAACTTGTTTCTGCCTCCAGCTAATAAGGAAAATATCATGCCAAACACGCTTATTTCCTCATGTCAGGATGTGCAGTCTTAATTACAGCCTGATTCTCTGTTAGAAGATATTCTGGATTGATGTACACAAGTTTTCTGTGCTGTTATGTGTCTGTAGAAGCATGAGAGTGTAGTTAAATATTTGGGATATACTTTGAAGATCAGTGTTTCTTTATCAACTAGAGACGGAAGGAATTTCCTTTTGACAAAATGGAGACTTATCACTGACAATTGAAATAAGCTGCATAGGTATTAAGGTTAAATTAAGATGAGCTACATAACAAGCATTTCTTTAGTATTTTGGATTTAAAACTGGGTGTGAGGTATCGCACATATAAAATTCCCTTAAAATGATTCAGCATGGCTAATGGACTTGCATTCATAATTGCCAAAATAGAGCTCAGGCGTGGCAGTTGAGGCAGAGCTTCTTCCTGGCTGTGGGGTGCGGAGGAGATGCTGAGTTGTGTGGTGTAGCTCTCTGACAGCAGCAGTAATGCTGCTCATATTATGGAGCTGATGACTGTGGGAGAAGGGAAGTGGGGAGTCCAAAAATTAAGCCTCACGTTTATCTTGTGACACACCACCTTCTCCCTATTCAACATCTCTAAAAGCCTCACACCTCACCTGCAGAGTCTGGTGACCACCAAATGCTGGATCTCATTGCTTCTGCCCTATCAATCCCGCTGCTGCTTCCTTGCAGTCCTGCCACAGGCTTATTTCTTCAAAATCATCTTCCTATTTGCTAACCATAGAAGAGTGTAGGGTGTGGCCTTTCGCCTTGGGGCAGCTTGCGGCTTCCATTGCTTTAGAAATGTTGTAAGAATCTACCATTTTAACCTTGGCAGTCATAGCTTTCCCATGGTGAATGGAGCTTTCAAACAGGCTATATTTTTTCCATGTACTGGAATTGTAATACGCATACCTTTATGCCAGCTATCATTGGAGAAGAACTAGCTGAGCTGCAAGTGAGGAGGTCAAAAGACCTTTTCCTCTAATTATTTACGAATCCTGTTGAATAAGTTTTCACCCAATTGGTTATCACTGTATTGTTTATATAATAGCTATTGAAATGATGCCCAGTATTCTTACTGGGAATTGAGATCAAGTCTGTTAGTTAGCGGACCCATGTCTACATGTTCAGAAAGAATTTTCCAAGTCTGTGCTTAGTGCCTTTTAAACTGTTGCTACATCTGCTGCTCCCAGAGTGAGAAACAGTGAGGAGTCCTGTTTATTCTGGTTGTACTTGCTTATTCCTCTCAAAGTCATCAGTGAAACTGGGCTGCTACAACACTTGTGCTTCTGAGGCTGAATTGCTTGACCATCTTTGCTTGTCCTTCCAGTTGTCAGGGGAGCAACCTAGCTGGCATCTGGGGAAATGCTGGAACTGGACAGTCCTGGGTCCTAGAAGGCCTTTGCTACACTCTATGTGGGCCTGAAAGTCTGTGGAGGTACCTCCCTTGTTGAAGCTGATGTAGGCCACTAGTGAAGACAACCTAACATTATCATCAAGCGCAGAGGAGGCTGCGTGGCTTATCCAATGGACTATGGTGCACACCAGGGTTGGGTGTTGTGGGGTGGTATTGTCCATGCACTGCAGAGGGACCTCCTAAGAGACACTTCCTGCAAAAAAAGGTATGCTGTTACTGTTTCCTGTGACAAGGAGAGAAGTATGAAGTGCTGGAGCAGCATGGCTGCAGCTCAGATCCATGCATTGCTTGTCCTTCAGCTTTCAGGTGCAGGATGTTCCTCCCTGTGGAGCTCCTTGTCCTATCACACTGAGGAACCTGAATCTTTCATAATGCTGCACTAGGATGGCTGCTTGCAGGTCACCTTGCTGGCTGGCATCATGTTCATGTTTGTCTGGCATCACCTTGTTTTTCAGAAGTTATCTTAGCTGGCTGTGGCTGGTGCTCACTGCCCTCTGCTTCCAGTCAGCAGGGACTGGTGCAACTGGCTGCTCCATTTTTGAACAGCTACTTGGCGCAGTTTGCAGCCAGTAGGCAAGCATGTTCAGAGAAGAGCCTGACAGGAATGGGCCTTATTTATATTCAGAATGCTGTTGGTGCTGCATAGACTCTCCTTCTTGCTCCAGCCTTTGTTTTCTCTGACCCTGTTTTGTACTTTTGGTATGCTACAGAGGGCAGGATGGCACATGTCCCCACATAGTTCATTCAGTGTTGTCTCACTCCTGGACTACGTACTGGCTAGTGCTCTCTGTGAGAACACCTCAAAACCAGTGTCAGTAGTTTAGATCGATCTGAAATGTGGGGTTTTTTTACCTTTAGGCAGGTGAATGGTATACTTATGTGGACTGTTTTTCCTGATGTGTTATGAGCCATCTGTTTGAATGCAGACTTATCTTCTGCATTCTCAGTTTGTGCAAGGTCTGCTGCCTGGCTGGACTGGTGTTCTACTTTTGGATGGTGGCTGTTTATTTGTTGGCTGGTTTTGTTTAGTTTTTTTTTGGTTGGTTGTTTTTTTGTGGTTTTTGTTTGTTTTGTTTGTTTTATGTTTGGGTGTTTCTTTCTGAGAGGGGGAACTTTAAGGGGGCTGAAGCTGTGGGGAAAAGAAAGAAGATCGCAGGTGGTTAGCACAAGAAGGCTGACTGAGCACCTGCTGCCAAGCCCTCGAAGACAGTCTGGCATAGCAGGCCATAGATGGGAAAAATCATGCATGTAAAGTTCATCAGAAAGGGTTGCTGTTGTGCTGGTGCAGTGATTCACACTGTTGGGTTAGAACTGGGGCTCCAGGTTTGCATCTTGCTCTTGGAGGGAGGGGAGCTCTGTGAACTTTGCAAGTCTGTCCCCAGATGTGCTTTCTCCTTCTAGTTCTGCTTAAAGAGGCACCTTAACCTTTCAAATACAAAAAATATCTAGTGAGGGAATGGAGAACCTTACAGGTGGCCTTTCTGCAGAAGAGTGTGTAGGCTGTTCTTTCAGCCTGAAAGCAGTTGTACTTAGAAGTGTAGATGTGGACCTGAGAAAAGGTCTTCCC